TAGCAGCATAGCGCTGGCTGCTGGCGGGGAAGGGGATCTGCAGCTTACAGCAGCCCTGACGTCAGCAGGCCACGTGATACACCAGAGGGGATATCTGGGGGAAAGTTTACAGAAGGGGCACGTGGGGGGAGCCCTGGAACCCGCTGGTAGGTTCTAGAGAGGGGGCGTGGCCGGGGCAGAGCGAGGCCACGCCCCTGGGAGCATAAAAGGGGGCCCTGAGCGAGAGCTCGGGGCTGTCGTTTGGAGTGGGATCCCTGTCGTGCTGTTGAAGATCGTCGCCGTCGTCGCTGTCGTCTCGTCGCCATCGTCGCTGTCGTCTTCACTCGATATTGCGCTGCTAGACGGTAGTTGGCTGTCTCGGTTCAGCGCCGTCGTTGTTAGACGGCTAGTGTTGTGTATAGGCGAGCAACCCACGTAGAGTTGTGTATAAGCGAGCGACAGAAGAGTGTGTACCAGCGTAGGGTGTGTGTTGTGCAAAGGGTGCTCGGTTAAATAAAAGAAGTGCCTCTAAGTGTTAGCGTCTCCGAGTTAGTCACTACACGTGTTTAGGGGCCGTCCATAAATGACGTCACGCGATTTTGGCCGATTTTTGACCCCCCCTCCCCCCCTCGTCACACGGCGTCACAACAAGTCAGACCCAGAGGTGTAGCTAGGGGGGGCAGGGGGGTACATCTGTCCCCTGGCGCCAAGGTAAAGGGGCGCCAAAATGAGGCTTACAACGTTACATTATAACTTATTGCGGCGGGCGCGTCAGCCTGAAACTACTGCACAAATCTACACCTCAACCTAAAAGTTCATATATCCCGCCACACACAGCCTACAATGTCATGTAATTACATTTTGGTACGCGCACCTATTAAGAACTTACATGGAAGAACGTCCCAAACAACAGACAGGCGCAGTCTTTCAGCCTTAGTCACTGGCCTGTTTTTTGGTGGTGGAAACTACGACGGCCTATTTTTAGTTCTTATTAGTGACACCACCACGCTCCAGGCGGCTGCAGCAGCCGGAGCAGCCCACGCACGTCAACATAGCGTGGCCTTCATTTAGCAGCACAATGTTATGACAATGCTGCTGTGATGACTGGGCATATATCCGGCCTTCAACAACGAATATGTGACAAAAATCACAGAGCATTGTTTGTCAACTGTGACAACCACAGCTTAAACTTAACAGGAGTACACTCAGCTAAACAGGATCCACTTGTCGTCACATTTTTTGGAACAGTTGAAAGTATATATTTGTTTTTCTCTCGTTCAACAATTCGTTGGGAAAAGTTAAATAAAGCTGTGCCCATCACAGTAAAGCGGGAGTCTGAAACACGCTGGAGTGCACGATCAGAAGCTGTTAAAGCTATCTATGAAGGACTGGATGAACTAGTAGGGCTGCTAGACAAATTATCGGAGGACGTAACTATGACGCCTGAAACCAGAAGTGATGCAGAACAGTTACAGGCATACCGTATAAAATTTTAACTTCATAGTTTTATTGCATTTCTGGAATGTCATTCTTGGAAAAATTGATCGTGTTCAGAAGCGCTTACAGGATCCTACTATGAATTTCAAGGAAGCAGCAACTGCTCTTGAATCTTTGGAGCATGAATTTGTCAAGCTTCGTGATGATTTGAGCCAAGTTGCTGTAGAAAACGCCAAAACAAGATGCACAGCCTGGGGGATCGATGTGGACAGAAGAATTAGGCGACGTCGGAAGATGCCAGGAGAACTGGCAAGAGATGCAGGACTTTCAGCAGAAGAAGAAATTGTGCGCGTTATGAAGAGCGTATTTTATCGACTTCAACAGGAGATGTCAACACGGTTTTTACGACTAAAAGACCTGAACACAAAATTTGGATTTCTGCTAGACGTCAAAACTCTTCTATCCGACACAGATGTCGATGCAATTCGTAGAAATTGCACAGATTTTGGAAATTTCTATGATATCGACATCAATGGCCACGAACTTTTCGCAGAAATTGGAGATTGCAAAATGCTGCTCAATAACCGGAATGAAGTTCTACCAGAAACTCCTTTGGATCTTCTTGGTTTCATTGTGTTTTATGGAGACAACATATTTCCGAATTTGCGAATTTTACTGCAAATTTTATTAACAATAGTAGTTTCAATTGCAAGCTGTGAGTGGTCGTTAAGCAAATTGAAACTTATTTTGTCGTATTTGCGTGCTTCAATGGGACAAGATCGTCTCAGCGATCTTGCTCTTCTTAGCGTTGAAAGAGAAACATTGGAAAAAAACTGATTTTGATTACGTGATTGACCAGTTTGCGACAGTGAAATCAAGAAAAATTAATATTTTGTAGACTATGTCAACCAGTCTACGACAGTGACTGAGTGAGCCATGTAATATAATTTCTATAAATTTGCTTCTTTAAATACAATGTTTCATTAAAATTGTAAATGTTATCCCTTATTCGATGTAATAGGAAAATGTGATTAAACGGGCGCAAAATATCCGAGCTACGCCTTTGGTCAGTCCCCCCTCATATATGACGTCACAAAGCTCTGCCCCCCCCCCCAAAAAAAAACACATTTCCATTTTGAAAATGAAACATGCTTCAAATAATTTTAAGCTATTGTCATTGTAGTGCGTATTTAATGTGGCGCTGCACTCTGATATTGTAGGAGAAAACATTTATTAAAAAGGAGGCGTTGGAAAGCTGAAATTTAGCATAAAATTTACTTTAAAATATTCAACGTCTAACTAAAACTGCAGATGTTCAGAATATGATATTGAAATTATCTTATAATTATAAAATATTAAAAGTAATTATAACTATAAAAAATACTTGAAACTTTGTAGTAGAACGAAGAAATATGGAGAGTACAATTATAACAATCACATATTCATTTCACAGAATGAAAAGCCCTGGTAGAATCATAAGAATCAAAATGTTTAATAACAATCATTATTTTTTTTTTACAAAATTTATGCTTCTCCATTCTCCCATGGAGAAGCAAAATGCTCCTTCATGGAATTAATAAAAGGTGACCTTAGTAAATTAAAATAATAAAATAGTTAATAATGAAAATTAATCAAAATTAGTGTTGTTATAACAATTCTATTTAATTAATATTGATTTAAAGTTGCGCATTTTGATGTGCCGTCACATTTCTCAACCCCCCCTCCCCCCATCGTCACACATCGTCACAAATGTCTGACCCCCCTCCCCCCCTAGGTACGTGACCTCATTTATGGACGGCCCCTGAGAACACTTGTACATGTGTTGTGTTATAGCTAAATGTCAGTTTTAACCAGGTCGCATTTCCTCGAGAAACCTAGAAACAAATGCAAGAAACCATATCTTCCAAATTAAACACATTATTGGGTGATATTGCATTGCCATTGGTGCACAAGCACAACCAACTAACATCTCAATATATCCGTCAATGACTCAGTGGCTTTAAAAGGAAAATGTATCTCAGGTGACGTTTCTGGCAGTGGTCCTTCTTTAATAGCACACGTGCTTAGCATTAACGGAACATTCACAGAGAGCTGTGTGTGTATGATCATTGGTGGGGGATCAGTAAGTGTGGAGTGGTTAGCGCACGTACTGGCCGATTTAATCCGGCGACCTGAGTTCGATTCCTGCTCATGACCAATAATAGTGGCGAATATGTAAATCGGTCCAGGGCTCAAGTCGATTCAGTCTCAAATGATTACCTGGTGTGGTATAAAAGCAAAAGAACCTGGGAGACAAAAACGGCCGGACGTGGTGTTGGCCACCGCCCCACCCTCGTATGCGGTGCCGGCCTTCATAGGTGCTCGCTAATAACACTTACCCCAACAGTCTGTTAAAGGCTACACAGCGGATCTTTGTCATTGTGTGCATACTGAGGCTGTGGAAGTAATTAAGTTCAGTGTGGTTGTGTATATGTCCCATGCTGGAGCATGAGATGCACTGGCACAAGTGGTATGAATAAGGGCTGTTGCCCGAAACGTCGCCAATTACTACATATATATTTACCCTTATTGAACAATATATTTGTTTATATCTCCAAAATAAAATAATAACATTAACATATAAACTGTAGATAGAGAAAAAAAAACTCCAACTGCAATTGGTCAAATATCTCAGGCAGGGACTATGCTGAAAACATCCCCCATCCTGTGACAAGGCAGTGCTTCACCCTGTCAGGCAGAGAGGTACATACACGTGTTCTGCAGTCCCTTGTTTACGCCGCTTCTATCGAATTGCTGTAGAAGATACAACATATTGTGGAGCAATATATTTGAGTTGCCCTAGAAAAGTAGCCTCTTCGCTCAGTGGGCTTGACTGGGGAAAATACACTTTGGTAATATATTCTAAGCGAACACTCCAAAGTATGCACCGATATAATACGCTGCTGTTTTATGAAATGTAATCTTATAACAATGAAAAGCAAATGACAGGTGTATCTTTGAAGATATTGAATCGCGCAAAATATGCCCACGATATACAACCACATTGTATACACCTCCACATGTACACTACACACATGCACATCACAACATCAATTATAAATGCACTTCATGATACGTTTTATATGCTGCCCTATCTATGCATTGGAAGAAACACACTCCACTTTATTATTAAGCAAGTTCTGAAAAAAATTTGCTTAAGTTTATCAGAAGAATTCTACAAAAAATACTCCAGTATTGAGTAAACGTGTCTGATTTTTTTGCCATTTGTGCAATATTGTAAATAAAAAAAAACCCACACTCGGACATCACAACAGCATCACAACACTCTATCTTATCAAAGTCAAATAGCACCAAACCCCCTTATTCCAGGAGCTCGCCTTGCCTGCCAGCTAAATACAACAGCCAATGGGGAGTGCGGGCTGGTTACATCAGCGGGACTCAACAACCCAGAGCAATTTCTCTCTCCCTCTCTCTCTCCCCTTACCCCTATCCACCACACGGGCGAAAATCTCTCTCCTGCCAGCCAGCCAGCACAACAGCCAAGCCCTGCCCCCCGCACACGCACCGACACACACACACGCACTGACACACACCGTTGATAAGAACAATGCTGCATGGCATGCGAGTGTGTCACTCGCATGCACAGCGCTCGTGGTGACGGAGCGCGCGGGGCAGGGAACAGCCCGGACCATTCAAGGGGGGCTGCTGGTGGTGGTGCAGCAGCAGCAGCAGCCATCCAGAGGTAAGAACGAACGCATTGTTGTGTTAGTAGTAGGCACATGTGTTGCCTTAGAACCAACACATCGAGGGAAGGAATGAACACCTTCCTTCACGTTCAATAGCCACACGCGCAGACGCAGCGGTGACAAGCCACGCGTGCGCACATCGTAACGCCGCCGTGCCAAGACGCAGCGGTCTCGCTGCAAATATGCACACGACCAGTTCGGAGTGGTGGTGGTGGTCGTTCCGCTGTTGTCGTGTGGCCCCTGAGTAAGTGCGGCAAGGACAAGGCCGGCCACACTGTAGCCAGTCAATGTAACATTCGCTCACGCACACACTGTGTGTGATAGAGAGAGAGAGAGGTGTGTAGTTGTGTGTGCCGAGTGTCAATGCGTGCAGCGGGGTGGTTGGTGGTCGCTTGCCAAAGCGCGTCCGTGCCTCCCATCGTGCTGGGGGGGGTGCGGGGTGGATGGGATGCCGCTACCAGCGTCGGGGATGAAGAAGGCGCTTTGGTGCAGCGTGCCGCTCATTCGCAGGACGTGCGTGCGGACACACACACACACACACGGGCGCGCGCTACTGTAGAGTCTTGGACGATTGCCGAGAGAATGCAGTGAACTGTGGATTTGACCACATCTTGGAATAATCACAAAGTCACAACCCTGGTGAGCCCCCCAAACCCCCCCCCCCCACCCCCCGCTCGTTGGGTTAGAACAGCGGCCGCCGGACAAGCCGTGGGTCTCCGTGTGGGCACGCGCGTGTCGTGTGTGTGTACCTGTGTGTGTGTGTGTACCTGTGTGTGTGCGTGTGCGCGTGTCTGTGTGCGCGTGTGTGTACCTGTGTGTGTCTGTCTGTGTGTGTGTCTGTGTGCGCGTGTCTGTGTGCGCGTGTGTCTGTGTGTGTGTACCTGTGTGTGTCTGTCTGTCTGTGTGTGTGTCTGTGTGTGCGCGTGTCTGTGTGCGCGTGTGTCTGTGTGTGTGTGCGCGTGTGACTATGTGCGTGTGTCTGTGGGTGTGTGTCTGTGTGTACGTGTGTCTGTCTGTGTGCGCGTGTGTCTGTGTGTGTGTGTGCCTGTGTCTGTGTGTGTGTGTGCGTGTCTGTCTGTGTGTGTCTCTGTGTGTGTGTGTGCATGTGTCTGTGTGCGCGTGTGTCTGTGTGTGTGCGCGTGTGTCTGTATCTGTGTGCGCGTGTGTCTGTGTGTGTGTGTGTCTGTGCGTGTGTCTGTGTGTGCGCGTGTGTCTGTGTGTGCGTGTGTGTGCGCGTGTCTGTGTGCGTGTGTGTGTGTGTGCATGTGTCTGTGTGTGTGTGCGCGTGTGTGTGTGCGTGCGTGTGTGTCCGCGTGTGTCCGCGTGTGTCTGTGTGTGCGCGCGCGTGTGTCTGTGTGTGCGCGTGTCTGTGTGCGTGTGTCTGTGTGTGCGTGTGTCTGTCTGTGTGCGCGTGTGTCTGTGTGTGTGTGCGCGTGTGTCTGTGTGTGCGTGTGTCTGTCTGTGTGCGCGTGTGTCTGTGTGTGTGTGCGCGTGTGTCTGTGTGCGTGTGCCTGTGTGTGCGTGTCTGTGTGCGTGTGTCTGTGTGAACGTGTGTCTGTCTGTGTGCGTGTGTCTGTCGTTCGCGTGTGTCTGTGTGTGTGTGCGTGTGTCTGTGTGTGTGCGCGTGTGTCTGTATCTGTGTGCGCGTGTGTCTGTGTGTGTGTGTCTGTGCGTGTGTGTGTGCGCGTGTGTCTGTGTGTGTGTGCGCGTGTGTCTGTGTGTGCAAGTCGTCCCCTTTTATCCGCAACACTTTCCAAGTGGTGACGCTCTCCAACCGTGCCCATCTGCGTGTCTACGCAGAGGGGGGAGGCATTGTTATTACGAGTTCTGTGCATTGTTGTCAGTAACAAACAAACAAAAAACCCAACAACATGCAAACGCGTAATTGTACACGTGCTTGTGTAGCACAGTGCAATATTATGATCATCAATCATCAGCCATGGTCAATCCACTGCTGGATAAATCCCACCGTCGCCGCCACATCGCGATGCAATAATGATCCACCTGGCGCCCGCACTCTGAGTTGCTTTCACCGCTCCGTCTCCACGCAGCATGTCCCCTCTCTGGACGCGTTCCACTCCTCGTCTGCCATTCCGTTGGCAGTGCGCTTGCCCATAGGGTGTGTTACATGGTAACGTGTCCCTCGATCTGGAGACGGGGCTCTGCTCAGTTTCACTTCGCTCGCCAGCCTGGAAGACGTAATTAACCCATGCCGATTCATAATTGACGTGCGTATGCCGAGTCAGCTGATTTCATGCAATGAGCGGCGATCATTGTGCGGCGCTGAAGCGAAATCAAATTGAGGGTCAATGATTGCCCCATCGGTAATTGTTCGGGGAGCTGCTTCGGTGTCATGGTCAGCAAGACACCGGAGTTGCTATCCGGAGGTCGCCGGTTCGATCTCCAGATATTTGTTTAATCTGCCCGGCTCTGTCGACCCCAGAGTATGATTGGATACACCGCAGTTACTAGGCAGGTCGCCTTTCGTGGAGAAAAGAGTGTGTTCTATCACCTCTTCTAAGACGTCTGGCCAGCATTGGAAGAGTAGGCCAAGTACCATCGAGAGGGCCTCTTTAGAGCACCGTTCAGTGGAGGCCCTTCTGCCAGCAGTGGCTGGAGGACGCAATTGCAGGACTGCCCGGTTTTACATTTTCACATTCACTAGAACGTTATGGGGTTTAAGTACTTGGTAGGGAAATGTAGCCATAGGGTTACACTACTTGTGGTACAGTGGCTATAATGTGTTGTGTTGTCAACATATAGGACATTACTGCAGGTAGTAAACATATTGAGCTTGTTCTAAAGACACTGAATTATGTATGCGAACATTAGCATGATGCTTTTAATGTAAATATCTGGTTATGCACAGTGGTTCTGTACCATAGATTTATGACTTTACAATAAGTACTATGACTCGCAACGTAGCAGAGGGGTGAATTGACAGTTTATGTCCCACTGTTGTCTCATGGAAGTAATGGAATATTTAAATACGTAATTTAATGCTCTGGTTTCTTGCCACATGTACAAAACTTAAAAAAGGAGTGGGCCCAACATGAAAATGCAGGGCCCTGCTGAGAAAATATCCAGACGTTCATTATTTTCTGGATGAATAAATTATATTATTAATTTGTGTCTTATTTCCCAATTTTATCCAAATTATTTGGTGACACTGCGTTGGCAGTGGTTGACAATCACAATGAGAAATCAACTCCACATTCGTCAATAACGTTTTCTTGAAAAGATAAAGTATAAAACGATGATGTTTCAGACAATGGCCCTTCCTAGCACACAACTCCTCTGACTTCTATGTGCCGTGAAGAAGCTGACCAAAGCTTAGCTTATCATGTATTTTACATTTTAAATCAATTTTATCTAGAATGCGCTATCCGCATCGGGTCAGGAGACTAGAAATTGAATTCAGAATTCCTCTTCCTTCCGATATTTGGAAGATACTGGAGCTATGCACTTTTACATCTAGATTGAAAACTAATTTCTTTAGAACTGCGTTTTGTACTGAGTTTCTTGTCCTTCCCCGGCACCTCCGATTAGCACGGTTGGCTACATACGGTGCAAAAGAAGTTCAACATACATACCGAGCAGTGCGTCACCTCATGTTAGAAAACAGTCCTGGGAAGAAGACATCACAGAACTTATAATTAAATATCTTCAAGTGACTTCTTATCCACATTCGGTACCAGCGCTCTCCCACCTGCCCAGCTGCAGTGTGTCATGGACGTATTGGCGGTAGACCGTTGCAGCGTAACACATCGGTCCTCCCGTAAAACAGTCCAAAAATCTAAATTTGAACTGACATTCGTGTTCCGACTGCTTCGACATCACGAGAACTGATTTTGAGGCACCACGATTTCCTGACCGGGGTTGCAAATTGCGGGAAAGTTTATAATTATTGCGAATACAGTAAAACCTTGGATTGCGAGTAACTTGGTCTGCGAGTGTTTTGCAAGACGAGAAATGTTTTAAAATAAATATTAATTTGATAAACGAGCGATGTCTTGCAATACGAGTAGTACGTGTATACGCTTCGTCTGCCGAGCGTCACGTGATCACAACTGATATACGAGTGTTTTGGATTACAAACACGTTTCCGGAACGAATTATGCTCGCAATCCAAGGTTTTACGTACGTTTAAATGTTCAGTGCAGGACAATCCAATTCGGCTCAATTAAATGTGCAACCATATTTCTTATGAAGTTTTTTTCTGTGCACGTCATTGGTGACTGGGCTGAACCCACCAACTTATTACGCTTGATAACCTGCTTTTGTTATGGGTGGTTGCCAGGACCTCAGTGGTGCCACATCAGCCGTCTAACCTCTGAGCCACCTTTAAATAAATTAAACTTGAGTTCTACATTATTATTTGTACAAAATATTTCAGCACATGCGTTACTTATTTTCAAAACGTAAACAAATCTTATTCGGAGCAAATCCCACAGGAACCTTTCGATATTGCAGCTGCTGGGAATATTGAACGTGATCATACTGTCTCTATATGTGTTTCCACTGGGAAATCAGTCTGACTTGAGCCCTTTGATGTGTTTTTCGGTTGTACTTGGAGTTGTTGGGCATTGTCTGACATTTCGCTCCACATGCTGGGAGCTTGTATGGACATTGTCCGACACCTCCGATTAGCACCGTTGTATGCATGTATGTTAGGTAGTCAACCGTGCTTATCGGACATTGGCTATCTACGGTGCGAAAGAAGTTAAAATCGATACATTGTGGCAAACAACACAATGTCTAAAACAGAATAGTGCCCCACAGTGCAACCGCGAACACCTCCGCAGCAGAATTGCTCACTATATATTTCTGTCTGGAATGTAAATTCTTTGTTTCCATCCACATTTTTACGGAGAAAACATCCTCATGTTTAATCTTTGTCAATCACTTATGTGTATAACCTTCATAACTTCTAGATTTGAAGCTTTCGTGACTGCAAGGATTCATATTCTTAGGTTTTTTCGGTAAAGTCACGTAG